ATCAGTATGCTATCAACAGATAATAAAATCAAACAACGTCCGTATTAAGTCTGATTATGAATAATAGCCGAGGAATTCCGATTAGGCGAAATTAAAATGATGGAGAAATCAGGAGGAATTACTTCCTGTTTCGAGTAAAATTCCCCTTCTTATTTCCCCTCCGTGATAACGATTTTTTTCATATTTTAAATGTAAAAATATCATTTTAAAACGGTTCAAACATGTTAAACATATATCTTTCTTGGTGTTTGTTCTTGAGATGAACTATAGAAGAAATATTTTCTTCTATAGCTTGTCCACACCCTCCCCCACCAATTCTTTGTGTTCAGAATGAAGAAGGAAAATGTTTATTTTCAAGCATGCAATGTAGTAATTATAACAATGTTAATACTTTTGTATATGAATTTATGCAATTATTAAATTAAGGTTTAGCTATAATGTTAAACATACTATCTGAATATAGTATTACATAGCTACTTCTTATTTGCCATATGCATTATTTGTTCCTTCGAACCATGCACAATCAAATGTAGTAAACAACTCAACAGTTCATATATTATATAGAAAGATTGTCACTGATTTAACACTTTTTCTACTCTCTTTTCAGAACTTCAAGGCGACCTGATTAAATTTTACAGAAAACGTTGTAGTTCAATACCTCTCTCACCGCTTCTTGAAGAAATAGAGACACCTCTAGCTGGGTTCTATGTGATGCCAGATATAGTCGCCGTAAAACAAAAATCCCTAATTTGTCATGAAGAGGAAAGAACACCGATCGAGTCTTTGAAAGACCTGTTTTCAACCGAAAGTGTAGATCAACAAGAAATTTATCTATCAGCTGATGCAGGTTTTGGAAAAACTGCTTTCTCAAAATATCTTGCAATCACGTGGTGTCAAGCTCATTGCCACGATGGAAATTATGCCTGTTTTAAAGACGACGAGTTAAAGACGTTATTTGACTTTAAGTTCATATTTTTGGTTTTATTAAGAGACTGTACCTCTGTTTGTAACATTGACGATATGATTGAACAACAAATTACTAAGAAACTTCCTTCTTCAGTATCATTAGATGAAGTATTATGTAGAGAAAAATGCTTGATTATATTGGACGGTCTTGATGAATGGACTCATCCTGTAAATAGTTGTGGCGAAGTATCAGAAAAAATCCCACATCGATACGTACGTGATAATTGTGTTATCCTTACGACAACTCGACCGTGGAAGCTTGGAGTTGCAAATCTCAAAACAAGTCAAATAAACAAAAAAGTAGAATTGGTTCAAATGAATTCAGATTCCATACGGCAACTTGAAGAAAATGCTATAAGGAAAATGACCGGTGTCCATAACGATAGAGCACTGAAGAGTAAAATACGGGACTTTAATGAAGTGATACGTGACTGTCGCCTAGAGCACATGCAAGTGATTCCACTCCTCCTCATGTATATTGTTTGCCTATGGTGTAACAACATTCCTATAGGAAATTCAAAACACGAAATTTACACCAATATCATTGAATTTCTATTATCGAGAACGTCAAAAAAACACCCGGAAGTTCAACCATCTCGTGAATCGTCTGCCATTGAAATTCCAAAATACTTCAAAAGTCATGAATTTTGTAAAAAGTTTTATAGTCTTATAACATCATTAGCAGAACTAGCTTACCAAACATTAATGAACAAAAACAGAGAAAATACGCTGGTATTTGATAGAACGGTTGCTGATATATATCTCAAAGCAGACGACATGAAATTAAGTCTTCTCTCAGGAATACTGTCAGAAAGTAGAAGTAAAACATTAATTAAAAAAATTATTAAAGTATCGTTTTCTCACAAAACAGTGCAAGAATATTTTGCCGCCATATTTATAAGTTCTCAAAGTGACGCTCAGAAAATTGTTGTAGAAAAGTGTAGAAATGTTCAAGACATTCTGGACATGTCAAAAATTTATGAATTTATAAGTGAAATGAATGCTGACCGGATGTGTGCAATATCAAATGATTTGATGTCTGTGATAAATGAAGACGAGAAAACACGCCGTTATAGAACTAGGACAGGTGGTCACAAGAACACGGACAATATTCACCCATTGTATAACATACAGCAAATGTTCATGTTTTGTTTACAAGCAATGCCTGAAAGTGAAAATATTCAATTATGTTTACAAGATTTCTTCATTGACTACAGCATAGTGTACAGTGCGCAGTTACAACGTTTGTTAAAACAAAATAAAACCAACATAAAATCACTTCATATAGACATCGAGGATGCTGACACCAGTTTATGTGGAATTGTAAAGTTATTCTCTCTCACAGATCTCAGTCATATACAGAAATTTTACTATCGTGGTGACAGAGGGGTTGAGGTTGAGATAAACCGGATATTGTTTCCCAGTTTACAGTACGTTACTTTGTGGTGGGGTAAATGGACAAATCGTGATAAAAATCTGAGTGGGATTTTAGCGCGATGTCAAAACTTACAATATTTATATATTGAACACTTTACATTATCTCACAAAATACTGGAAACAATTTTCAATTTTATCTCCGGTCAAAATTCAATGAGAGAGTTAACATTGAGGGAGTTAGACTGTGAAGAACATGGCCGCCATGATTGTAAGATATTGAACTTGGACTTGTCTCAACATTCAACTCTATCAAAGTTATACTTGTGGAGGTTACCTGGGAGGCTACAATTAAATATATTAACACCGTCATTAGTTAATGTTACATTGCAGGGGATCAATTTAGATGAAAGTTCTGCAGAAAGTTTACAGAACTTTATTACCGTGCTGGAAAATCTGCCGCAGTCAGTTACAGTAAGGATGAACCACATTACACCGTGGACAGAATATGAACGTTTTAGAGAAAATATTCGGAGTTCACAAACTTTTCATGTGATACAAGACAACGACTGGTCGGGGTTTCAGTTCAAAACAAGGAAACCAAGTAAAGAATAAACAAAGACAAACATTGTAAAATAAACTGAAGGAATTACTTTAATAATTTTAATTTACAAACATTTATTTCTGTTTAAAAGTTTAATTAAGTGACAGTTGTTTATAGATAAATTAATAAAAACATTTAAAGAGGAGAAATAAATCAAGGAAGTATTTTTACTGGAATTTAATGGATAACTTGGAATTAGTATTTGGAAATATTTCACAGGTAAGAGATTTTTTTATTGAATTATTTTTTTATATATATTATTTCATTTTACATATCTTAGTATTGAAATAGATTATTCAAATTGAATTAGATCTATATTATAAGATTTTATTTTAATTAAATAAAAAAACAACTTGATATATAAATAATTCCACTTTTAATATTTTCCCATAAATTTTTGATTTTTAAAGTAGATTTTATAGTTAAAATAAAACCTTTAATTAACTAAGTCAATTAAGACACATGAATATATGAACACTTGTTAAATAACTGTTACCTCAAATATTTTCAAAGTTCATTGACATATGGCTTTGAAACATTGTAGACTTGTTTGCAATCATGCCACTAACCTGTAGACAGAAGGAGGTAACTCTTTCAAGCAGTTTGTCAGAATTATGCCCCTTTTTCGACTTAGAATTTACATTAAAATATACGTACTACCTCAAAACTTTTCAAAGTCCATTGACATATGGTTTTGAAACTTTGCACACTTGTTCACCATCATGCCCCAACCTGTAGACAGGAGGAGGTAACTCTTTCAAGCATTTTGACAGAATTATGCCCCTTTTTCGACTATGAATCAATTTACATTAAAATGTGCATAGGCCTACTACCTTAAATATTTTCACGTCCATAGACATATGGTTTTGAAACTATGTAGGCTTGTTTGCCACCATGTCCCAAGCCTGTAGACAGGAGGAGGTAACTCTTTCAAGCATTTAACATAATTATACCTCTTTTTCGACTTAGAATTTACATTAAAATTTGCGCACCACCTCGAATATATTCAAAGTCCGTTGACATATGGCTTTGAAACTTTGCAGACTTGTTTGCTATCATGCCCCCAATCTGTAGACGAGAGGAGGTAAAATTTTCAAGCATTTTGACAGAATAATGCCCCTTTTTCGACTTAGAATTTATGTTACAATTTGCGTATGAGAACAAATATTTGCAAAGTTTATTGACATGGCTTTGAGACTTTGCACACTTATGCACCATCATTCCCCCAATATGTAGACAGGAGGTGGTAACTCTATCAAGGCTTATGACAAAATTATGCCCCTTTTTTCGGCTTGGAATTTATGTTAAAGTTTGCATATCACCTCAAATATTTTCAAAGTCCATTGACATATGGTTTTTAAACTTTGCAGACTTGTTCACCATCATGCCACAACCTGTAGACAGGAAAAAGTAACTCTTATAAGCATTTTGACAGAAGTATGCCCCCTTTTTGACTTAAAATTTACATTAAAAAGTGTATACCACCTCAAATCTATATGTGAAGTCTACTGACATATGACTTTGAAACAAGTTGAAATTTTATACACATGTTTGAGAGCATAATAGGTCACTCTCCATAACATGGATTTGAAAAATGTTTGGCCCGTTTTAACCTTTAAAATAAAAATATTATTTTGCATAAATTATCAAGGCTCTTTTACAATCAAGCACTGAGAATAATCGAGCATGCTGTCCTAACGACAACTCTTGTTTCTTAATGGAATGTCTTCAAACATGGACATTACAGCTCTTCTGAGTGCCTCTTGTTTAATTATATGTGTTTGCGATGTAAAAGGGAGAATTTTTTTCATTGTTTCAAATATGTCCGACTCATATTTACAAAAGGGTATTTTGATACCTATTCACCAGAAAACGTAAAACATTTGTTCAAGTAGGCAAGAGTTTTAAACTATGACGTCACATTTCTTAACGGCAGTTATTAAAGAATTCTGCCTCCTGTAATATTATTTATGTTTCATGGGAATCAGTATACCACACACGTACTTGTAAGTAAAATATTGAACTAGATAAGATTTGTACAATTTCGTCAAATTTTTTTAATTTATACAATATGTGTTATTTCTTGTTTCAGTGGCCTTGGATTAAAATTTCCGATTTTTTGGTGTGCAGAATCCCCCGTGACATTTTATATGGAGCATTGTGTGATGATAGATCAATTTGTAGAGATGTATTTGGAAAACATCCTCTTGTCTTGGTAAGACTTTTCAAATATCTTTTTAATGGACAGTCTAATAAACTGTTTATGTAAATTAAAGGCCCATTATGCCCCGATATGCTTTTATTTTTAATTCTCAATAGCTGTCTATTTCTGGTGTTCCGTTAAAATTTTCAACAAGTTACCCATTAGCCAATAACCTAAATCACCTTTTGCTTCTGTAATTTTTGGCATTGAGAACAATTAAACTGATATAGTATTTTGTATGGAAGTCAAAATACTACTTTGTTTACATTTAATTGCTACTTTTTGAACATGTTATTTCACATTCAACACTACTTTCTTCAGGTAAAAAGAATCTAACAAGTTTTTAAACTGTTAGTTAGCAGTAACAAAAACATGTTTTCGCTATCTAAAGATTTTTTTTTCCTTTCTGAGGCATAATGTGCCTTTAACATAGTTATGCTCACTTAGAAGAAGTGAGGTACATTGCTACAAGTGATTTATTGCATCACACTTATCAATTGGTTGGTTCTTCTGTCAGTTGGTCATAGTCAAATCCGTTTCCAGTCAATAACTTGGTATGGAGATAAGTTATGACCTGCAGATGACCCCAATTGTTTTTAGGTCAGAATTCAAGCTCACATTGAATGTCAAAATCGTTTACGATCAATAACTTGACATCCAATGGGTCACTGGCTCTTAATGTTCACAACTGCTTTGGTTTTGGCCAGTAGATGATTCCTTTTGATTTTGGAGTCAAGGGATCAAAGGTCAAGATCATGTTTATATTGTATTTAAAAACAGACTCCAACCTGAATAATTTGACAACTAATAGGCCCTTGGCTATAAATTATCCCAGGTGCATTTGTCTGGGCTAGTAGATGATTTCATATGGGGTCTTTAAGGTAAAAAGTCAATGTAAAAATGACCTGACAACATGACTTATTGGCTGCCAGTAGGAGACATAGATGCTTTACAAACATATCTTTTACAATAGAATCTTGAAGATAATGTCAGTGAAAATATGCAAAGATAAAATGCATAATTCCCACAATTCCAGAAGGGATAAGGAAGCCTTTGTTAAAAAGCATATCGACGATAATATCGATATCGTATTTATACTAAATAATTAAATATCAATGACAAATTGATATGTCGAGTAAAATGTATCCATAGTTCACCTTGGTGCCCTTTTACATGGTACATGATTTCCCTATGATGACTGTCTGCCAATGTATCAAATTATGATTTGTACTGTATATCAAATAATGCATACTGCATTCATGCTCAGTTTTCTGTTGATCTCAGGGACTACCTAATGGACTGTACAAATTTTATCAAGAGTTGTCCTAGGTCCTAATCATCCCAAAGTTGGGTTCATCTACATCGGTATACAAATTTCAAATTAAAGTCATTGTGCAGTATTAGTTTCTTTACCATCAGTTCTTTCTTTCTTATTAATAAGGTATAAACTTCAATTGTATATATATATATTGTATGGCTTTAACATTTTAGCTCACCTGTCACAAAGTGATTTGGTAGGCTTTTGTGATCGCTTTTCGTCTGGCGTCCATCTATTCGTCGTCCGTCCGGTTAAAATAAATGCCCTGCGGTCAAAATTGCCCCGCCCTGGGGGTCATGGATTTTCCTTATTTGTATATAGTAAAAACTTAAAAATCTTCTTTTAAAACCCAAATAGCTAGATTTTAGATATTAAAGCATGAAACATCTTCTAGAGGGTGTCTACCAAGTTTGTTCAAATAAAAACCCTGAGGAAAAAATTGACCCCGCCCTAGGGGGCCATTGATTTTCCTTATTTGTATATAGTTAAAACGTAAAAAAATCTTCTTTTTGAAAAACCCAAATAGCTAGAGCTTAGATATAAAGCACAACACATCTTCTAATGGGTGTCTACCAAGTTTGTTTAAATAACAATTGGCCTCGGCCCAGGGGATCATTGTTTTTTCCTTTATGTATATAGTAAAAACTTTAAAAACTTCTTTTATCAACCCCAAAGAGCTAGAGCAAAGATATTTTGCACGAAACATCATTTAATGGGTGTCTACCAAGTTTGTTCAAATAAGGGCCCTTGGGTAAAAATTGGCCCGCCCCAGGGGTCATTGATTTTTCTTATATACTTATAGTAAAATCTTTTAAAAAACTTAAGAGCTAAAGTTTAGATACTAAGCATGAAATATCTTCTTGTGAGTGTCAACCAAATTTGTTTAAATAAAAGCCCTCATAAAAACCATCATAAATTAACAAAATAAATAAAGTTCATCAAGTAGCGACGGTTACCGCCGGTATAGTTTTAGACATGCCCATTTTAATGTTTATATTCTTTGCTAATTTTATCATTTTTAAACCTCTCATTGATGAGGCAAAAGTATCGATTTTATTTCAATCCTGTATCGGTAATTGATTGACAGAAAAGTATCAACAATACATTCATTTCTTTTATGTCAAAGAATACAATCAGTCGCAAATCACAAAATTATATCGGATGTGTTTGCAGATCTTACTTATATTACAATAACATTTGAGCCGCGTCATGACAAAACCAACATAGTGGGTTTGCGACCTGCTTGGATCCAGACCAGCCAGTTCATACGCGCAGTCTGATCAGGATCCATGCTGTTCGCTTACCAACTCTATTACAAGTGGAAAAACTAACAGCGAAATGGATACTTAAAAGGAGTTGCGTTCACAAGATTGCGGGACGTACGGACTGACTGACTGACTGGCTGACTGACTGACGGACGGACGGACGGACAGACAAGTGCAATGCTATATGCTCCCACTTTGTGGGGGCATAAAAACTAACAGCGAAATGCATGGATACTTATCAGTCTGCATGGATGTGCAGGCTGTGTGTCGCAAACGCATTACATTGGTTTTGTCGTGACACGGCTCATTTTTCATTCATTTGAAACACTCTGGACCGGCTGATTTACTTTAAGCCTCCTGGCGGAAACATATTCTATACCCATCAGCCTGCATGTACATTAATATTTCAATGTTTTTCATAATACATGTATGATGAATGGTTCTGTCCAAATTGAATGATTGACAAGTCAATTTAAGTAATTTAGATTGGTTAGCTTGAAAATTGACAAGAAAAAAATCTGTATATTCAAAACACATATAAATATACTGTAATAGTGTTAGAATAGGAAATTCCTGCTACATGATAATATAATTGTGACTTCTTGCTTTCCCTTATTTCAGAAAATCAGCTATAATAAATCTACAGGTACAATGAGGACAATCACATCTGTTTGGCTTTTTATCCATCAATCTCCGGATGATTATCAGCGGGTTGTTCTGAACGACAAAGAAGTTAAAGTTCTTAAATAGTTCAATCTTATGATTTCACACCTGATACCTGGCTGTTCGGGGGACATATGTCAAATAAATATGTGATTAACAGCTGCAGAAAAATCCCTAAATCATCATTACTTGCCTATACATTGAATATATTTCTGGTTCCTGGCTTAATGGAAGGAAACAAAATAGAAACTTTTGCATCACACAGTTATCTTGTATCTGTTTTGTACAATTAGAATTTGAATCTTGATAACAATTACACCAAGACCACTGTTAAATATTTCAGTATTCCTTTGAAAAAATCTTTTATGTAAAAAAGGTCTTATTTAATAATTTAATTTATGAATTAGATATACAGTACATGTATAAATTTGTTTATGCAATTTTAGAATAATATTATATAACAAGAATTGTTAAGTAATTTTTTATTAAAGGCCCATTATACTTCAGAAATTATGTTAGTTTTATTTAATTTTCGAAAACAGTTTCAAAAAATAAACCCTTTTGCCATATACATAATTTAAAGATAGTGATGCTGATTTTTTTTGTTTAGGCAATTGGTATAATTAAAGTGAATCAAAAGTAGTATGATAGTCAAAATACTACTTAAAGTGTAATGCCCCCTTCGAAAAGAGGGGGCATATTGTTTTGCTAATGTCAGTCTGTCTGTTGGTCTGTCCGTCGTTAGACCACATACTTTCCGCTGAATATCTTGACAACTGTTTATCACAGAGTCTTCATATTTCACATAGTGATTGGCAATAACTAGTTGATGATCCCTATTGATTTTGGGTCACTTGGTCAAAGGTCAAGGTCACAGGAGCCATAAATGTCAAAATGGTTTCCGCTGATTATCTTGAAAAGCATTTATCACAAATTTGTCATATTTTACTTAGTGATTGGCCATAGCTAGTAGATGACCCCTATTTATTTTGGAGTCACTTGGTCAAAGGTCAAGGTCACAGGAGCCATTATTGTCAGAATGGTTTCCGTTGTTTATCTTGAAAAGTATTCATCACCAAGCCTTCATATTTCATTATTGATTGGTCATAACTAGTAAATGACCCCTATTGATTTTAGGGTCATTAGGTCAAAGGTCTAGGTCACAGGGGCCTTGAATGGTAGTATGATTTCTGCTTATTTTCTTGATTACTATTTATCACAAAGTCACATAGTGATTGGTAATAACCAACAGGTATTACTTTTGGGGTCACTAGGTCAAAGGTCAAGGTCACAGAGGCGTTAAATGTCAGAATGGTTTCCGCTTATTATCTTAAAATCTATTTATCACAAATTCTTCATATTTCACATACTGATTGGTCATAACTAGTTAGTGACCCCTATTGATTTTGGGGTCACTAGGTCAAGGTCATAGGGTTCTTGAATGTAAGTATTGTTTCCGCTCATTATCTTGAAAGCCATTTATCACAAAGTCTTCATATTTCTAATATTGATTGGTCATAACAATTAGATGACCCCAATTGGTTTTGTGTCACTAGTTCAAAGGTCAAGGTCACAGGGGCCTTAAATGTCTCATTATCTTGCAAACTATTTATCACAAAGTCTTCATTATTTTTTTCCATAATTGAACATTTCCATGTACCCATTTATGGAAAGTTTCTATATAACAAAATTACCAATAATATGAGTAAAGGGCTAGCAAAGGGGGCATATATGTCGTTCGACATTTCTTGTTTACAATTTGTTACCTTTAATACACATTACTGCAGGTTCAGTGCTATTTTCACTTGTTAAACATCTAACATGCTCTTGAAACATTATTAAAACATTATTTAAGAAATGCTTGACTTTTCTGGAGAATATCTATTTTCTGAGGCATAATGTGCCTTGTTAGTAAAGCGCAGTGTTTGCTGCGTATGGGAGTTGCATTTATTGAATGCCGCCTTTCCTTGTTGATCAAGTTTATCATATTTTGTTAATTTGCCTTAAGGGTATTACAAATGTATTGTTTTGTAAAAAGATTTTGAAGTGTGTATGATATTTACATATTTTTTTTACAGTTTCGCTCTTCTTTGTAAAAATGTTGTTTTCTGAACAAACATTCACGTAAATTGTTTTTATTTTTGTGATACACGGAAATTATGTATATGAAGATAAATTATTATTCATAATGATTTTGACAGGTTATATTGCCCAGTATAACAAGCTTAAAGTATATAACCCGAGTCACCAAATGATGGTTATATAACAAACAACATTTCATGCATGGCCATATAAGATGTTATATGTCTTTATATCCAAATAATAATATTGCTATCTTGCTCCTTTTGCTTTGAAACAATTAAATTAAATGGTAATATGCATTTGCAGAGTATATTTTTAGTTATAAAGATTCTGAATTTGTTACGGCTGTTTGCACATATAACCTGAGCTGATAGGTTAAGATTAAATAACTGTTTAAATATGGCTATATACCCTATAAGTAATCTTATAATGAATTTATAATACAGCAAACTTCCTTTATCACAGAAAAATAGATAGTTCATTAATTGACAGAGAAGTGTATATAGTATATATATAAACGTCATGATTATCCAATGAAAAGTGACGTTTCAAACATGCAATATTATTTCATTAAATTGTATATTTGAGTTACCATTGATTTATTTTTAGCTAGTGTATGTTTTATTTTATTTGTAAATAGTCATTGTTTGTGGAGTGATATCACTTTAAAGCTACATGCCTCATAGATAAGGAGTACTTTAGAATATTGTACAATTTTGTGATGAATTTGATAACAATATTAGCAGACTTGAGTACTTTAATGACAATACATTTTGCACTTCTGAACAATAGCAATATCAAATTGCACGATTTTTCTAAATTGTACATGGTATCTATAATGGATAGATATGATAGGAATAGCATACATTTCAAGCAGCTTCCTTTTGATTTATGATATTTTTCATGAAAATTTTGAAATTGTATTTAAAAGTTAAATATTGTGAAGTGAAAAAAAGTAATTGACACATTGCAAACAGTGCCTATAATCCATGTAAATTACCAAAAAGAACTATGTTGTAATGCCCCTCCTTACATGTAAGTTAGTTACGAAGAAGTATGTTGATTTTACATTCTGTATTTAAATAAGTCATTAATCATACAAAACATGTAAATTATTAATTTAATCCTATATACGTATTTTTACTTTTCTTTAAATCCTAGTACAATATTTTCAAATTTTATTTTATTGAAATATTTTAGCATCATCTGGAGACATGCAGCTTTAAAGATTTGAATGGATTTTTTATTGGAATTCTTTTATATACATGTATATATGCTTATTATATAAATTTCTGTTAATATCTGTATAGAATGTTAAATATTAAGAGGATTTTTTTTTCGGTTGAATGAAATATTTTTAATATATTTTCACAAAACATGATGAAATTCCATATATTTCACGAGCCAGAAAGGCGAGTGAAATATATAGAATTTTATCATGTTAAGTGCAAACATATTCTATATTTCACGAAAAAATAACATTTTTATTTATGTTTTCTTGGAAGAATAAAAGTTGTTTACGAATACACCTATTTGCCATGCAGTTGCAATTGTACGGAGTGCAGTCATGCAGTGAGGTTCGAATTCAATACACAATTTATCAAAGCCATTAAACCGTCTTGAAAAAAAAAACATAGCCAGATAATTTCTGATGATAATTGAATAGCTGAAGACTCATTGCAAAAGAGAAGCATCTGAAAATGTAGTCCTAGACATAAATATGAGTTTTGACTTCACCCACTTTTATATTCATTTCTCATATTTGTATTTTCACCCAAAAAATAATATGTATATTTAGCTGATATAGCACAATATTTTACGGGTTGAATTAAATAAATTCTTTTATTTTTCCTTATACTGGAAATTATAAAAGCGACAGGCCTCCAGATGTTTATATTAATTAACCCTTTAAAAATGCCCCCAATTTTATCTGGAGCGTAATACTTTATATTTTTGAAATAGTTGTATATATTAATTTTTTGAAACTTCATTGGTTGATATCATTCATTAAGAAAAAGTGCAGTACACAAAAAGGATATTTTTTTAGTTATTGCCCCTATTGTTTTGAAAGTGTCAAAGTTTATCTTCTAAGTTGTATTACACAAAATGTGTTAGTCACCATGCCTAGTTGTGCATAGTATCTTGATTTTTGAGTAAATCTATTTTGTCCATCTTTCATCTCCATACCTCTTGGGAAATTTCAGTGAACATTTATAAAATTGTTTGCAGAGTGCCATGATTTTGTGCATGATTTTTTTTTTCCATTTATTGGCCACTTGATGACTGGCTCTGTACTGGTAGCCAAGATTTATCACTCATTTTTATGAGATAACTATAGTTGTAAGATAACTATATTAATTGTTATGTCATCGTTTATAAACTGTAAATATTAGGCATTATTTCACCAAGATATATAACCAAATGATATTGTTGTTTTTATACTGTAAATATTAGACATCATCACATACCTTTGCCGCTTTTGTGACTCCGTAAAAATAGTACTGCACGACCGTGCATATATTATGACGTGACGTCATTTGCGTTATATAAACACAGTGTTCAGACGCGCTAAACGTCAGCGTTTCACTATTGACGCGTCAATGAAAAACGTTTCTTTATTACTTTAAACGGTCTTTATTTTTGGTATGTGATAAATAGAATATTAAATGCGTGTACGTTCATTACTAAATTTATTGAACTCTTTGAATAAAATAATGTTATACTCGCAGAAGTCTCACATAATATAATTTTATTCATCTCCTTCAATAAATTCAGTACTAAACTTACACTCATTCAATATCCTATATTTATTTTACCAAGGTAGATAACCATATCATGTCATTTTTTGTTTTAATGATGATACTGTAAGAACTGAATAAAGCAACTGAAATATGTGAGCAACATATTCCATTGCTTAATAATTAATGTTCAGTGCTTATAAAGTATTGTTTTCAATATATTTTATGATAATAAAATTATGTAACAGATTCTTATGTTAGTTATAATTATGTACGTGTATCCAGTTATTCTGGGTTTGAGATTTACTGTGAGAAATTGTTATTTCATGACACCAGTCCTGGATAGTCCAGGAAATTGAGTCAATAATGATTTTATTGTGCTCCCACTTTAATTATCGCCTTCAGTACGTGTATCCAGTTATTCTGGGTTTGAGATTTACTGTGAGAAATTGTTATTTCATGACACCAGTACTAGATAGTCCAGGAAATTGAGTCAATAATGATTTTATTGTGCTCCCACTTTAATTATCGCCTTCAGTACGTGTATCCAGTTATTCTGGGTTTGAGATTTACTGTGAGAAATTGTTATTTCATGATACCAGTACTGGATAGTCCAGAAAATTGAGTCAATAATGATTTTATTGTTCCCCCACTTTAATTATCGCCTGCAGTACGTGTATCCAGTTATTCTGGGTTTGAGATTTACTGTGAGAAATTGTTATTTCATAACACCAGTACTCGATAGTCCAGGAAATTGAGTCAATAATGTGCCCCCACTTTAATTATCGCCTGCAGTACGTGCACCCAGTTATTCTGGGTTTGAGATTTACTGTGAGAAATTGTTATTTTATGACACCAGTACTGGATAGTCCAGGAAATTGAGTCAATAATGATTTTATTGTGCCCCCACTTTAATTATCGCCTGCAGTACGTGTACCAGTTTATTCTGGGTTTGAGATTTACTGTGAGAAATTGTTATTTTATGACACCAGTACTAGATAGTCCAGGAAATTGAGCCAATAATGATTTTATTGTGCCCCAACTTTCATTATCGCCTGCGGTACGTGTATCCAGTTATTCTGGGTTTGAGATTTACTGTGAGAAATTGTTATTTTATGACACCAGTACTGGATAGTCCAGGAAATTGAGTCAATAATGATTTTATTGTGCCCCCACTTTAATTATCGCCTGCAGTACGTGTACCCAGTTATTCTGGGTTTGAGATTTACTGTGAGAAATTGTTATTTCATGACACCAGTACTAGATAGTCCAGGAAATTGAGTCAATAATGATTTTATTGTGCCCCCACTTTAATTATCGCCTGCAGTACGTGCACCCAGTTATTCTGGGTTTGAGATTTACTGTGAGAAATTGTTATTTCATGACACCAGTACTGGATAGTCCAGGAAATTGAGTCAATAATGATTTTATTGTGCCCCCACTTTAATTATCGCCTGCAGTACGTGTTCCCAGTTATTCTGGGTTTGAGATTTACTGTGAGAAATTGTTATTTCATGACACCATTACTGGATAGTCTAGGAAATTGAGTCAATAATGATTTTATTGTGCCCCCAATTTAATTATCGCCTGCAGTATGTGCACCCAGTTATTCTGGGTTTGAGATTTACTGTGAGAAATTGTTATTTCATGACACCAGTACTGGATAGTCCAGGAAATTGAGTCAATAATGATTTTATTTATTTTACAAAGCCAATGAGGTAAAATCAACAATACTTGCAAGTATTTCATTAGTTCAATCAAAAAGTTATGATTATGTTGATATAAAAGGGAGATGTTTACTAGATACTTAAAGACATTGTGGACAACGGCAACAATCTGCCTTCACGAAAGCTCGCCTCTTA